GCTTGGACACTTGGACAGCTGGCGGTATGCGGTCGGTCTTGGGGACTTGTCCAAGTGTTCGAGGTCTTCCGGAAAATTGTTTGAGTGTAGTTGCTGACGTCATCAGAAAGAAGTCCTGATGTTTTTTTGTAAAAGCTTGGACACTTGGACAGCTGGCGGTATCCGGTTGGTCTTTTGGGCTCGTCCAAGTGTTCGAGGTCTTCCAGAAGATTGTTTGGGTGTAGTTGCTGACGTCATCGAAAAGAAGTCCTGATGTTTTTTGGTAAAAGCTTGGACACTTGGACAGCCGCTGGTATCCGGTCGGTCTTGGGGGCTTGTCCAATTGTCCAAGGTCTGATGGAAGAATGTGTGGGTGAAGTTGCTGACGTCATCATAGAAGTCCTGATATCTTCGCGGGTGAGCACAGCCTGCCGCCACACATACAGCAAGACCTGCCAGCGCCAGGGGTGCGCTTTTTGAGGCTTTGCTCAGAACTCACCTTTTCTTTGACTTTGGTTGCTCCGCAGGAAACGGGAAGGGGGTATTGAAAGAGGTGCTGCAAGCTGCCACCGGTGATTACTTCGGCGGCATGTCCAAGGATGCAGTGGTTACAGCCCCCGGCCAGAAATCTTCCTCGAAGAACGCCCCTACCAACTACATCTACGAGCTGATGGGCGTGCGGCTTGCTGTCACCAATGAGACGGCAGAAGGAGAACGGGTGGATTTGGGGCTCGTCCTAGGAATGACCGGGGGGGGTAAGGCAAAGGCGCGTTGTCTGTATGAAAATAACGTAGAGTTCACCATCACTCATACGCCCTTCGTCCAAACAAATTACCCGCCCGCAATGTCTGCAACCGCAGTCAAGGAGAACGTCCTGCACCGCCTGCGAGTGATCCCGTTTCCCAACAGCTATGTTGGCGCCGACACCTTCGATCCCAATAATGCAACCCACCGCCTGCGAGACGACGGACTCAAAGATCGCATGAAGGAGGAGGAGTCTCTTCGGCAAGTACTCTCGTGGTTAGCCCGCGGTTCAGTTGAGTGGTATACTAGTACCGACGGGCTTGGGCGTCCTCCTCAAGCGGTGCAGAGTGCGACGTGTGAATACGTGAGCGAGGCGGACAAACTGCAGCTATTTCTCGACCAGCATTGTGTGTCCGGAGAAGGGCTTTCGATCCTGCAGGCCGAATTTGCCAACCTTTATCGCGGGTTCTCCTCGGAGAGGATTTCCAATGAGGAGTTGGCAAGGAGGATGGAAAAGAAGGGGTTCAAGAGGCTCAAGAATAACGAGACACCGCGACAATTGTACTATCCAAAGATTAAGTGCGAGTACACATTCTGATAGTTCTTTGAGGTTTTACAGCCTGGTGGATAAGTTAGATTGATGACTTAGACAAGGTAGATAGGCCCCACTCGAAAATAGGAGTATAAGTTCTGTCAAAAAGTCTGCCGGAAATCTATATGAATACGGTGACACTTTGGCCCGCATTAGAAATATAAGTTGGCTTATCGAAACAAGACCCTTGAACAGATTGTTTCTATAACCGTATGATGACGTCAGCATGTTGCGGCCATGATGTATTTTTGTATCAAACCCTGGACATCCGGACAGAAGCTAGTTGCTAGGCCACGTGCCCTAGTGGTTGGCACCTTTTTGAGCTTTGCTCGTATATACCAAGCTTGCAATCTCGTCCGATCTCAAATCAGCTCCACCAATCAGTAATTAGCTGGATGCATGCTTTAGTAACGTAATGATGTGATGTTGGTGAAATATCTCGTCGTTGATGACAAGGTCGTAACTTTGATATTGCTCTGCCGGTTTTACCAGCATGCACATGAGCCTTTCATATAGATTGCCTAGTGTAGACTGTTTGCCTTTTGTTTGTTGCTCAACAATTTCGCGGATTAGAAGGCATAAATCAACACTAATGATTTCCATGCTTTGCGTCGAAAGCTCAATTCGCAGAATGCATGGATACTGCTTCACGCCAGTGCCGGTCGATAGGTTCTTGCATCGCGCTAAATCGATCTCTTTATCAAAGACGTTGTCAACATTCGACTTTGACATGTCCATTTCCATTGCCGGTACTCGAGCCAAACCCATACTTATCGTAACAAAAATATGTTTAACCGAATGCGTTTCCTGGAATGAGCATAGTTCGCTTCTGACCCGAAAATTGAATGTACATCATATGGCCTTTAAAATATTTCTATCAGCTTTCTTTGAGTGTGAATATCTTCTGTTGGTTCCTTTCACCGACTTTGACGGTGCTTGAGTCTTGCGTTTTGGTACAACGTCAACTTTCGACTCGTCATCTGATGGCTCCTCTGTCTCCGACCTCTGTCTCCGAGAGTTGTTTGTTTGTAGTTTTTAATGGAAGCTTTTTTGCTTTGTTGTGGTGCTGCATGACGTCCAGCTTGAAATGGCATCAACGGAAAACTTCATTGTATGCGTTCGATAGGTCCCAGCAAAAGGAAGCCCGATTGGTTGTTTGGCCTTTTTCAAGGTCTCGATGTTGACTTGATATGCAAACAATCTCCCCTTAGATTTACGGGTAGTTTCTACCAGTAGAACATAGTAGACCAAAGGTGGTCGACATGTTTTAGTTGCTTCGACTTCATGCTTCTGTATAAGGTGGAACCAATTCTAGCGCCCGCTTGAAGGGGGCGACCGCTTTTTTCATTGATTTGGAGCCGGCTGCTCCGAACTCTATCGGTCAAGTCCATCTTACAACTACCACCAAAAGCTGCTTGTACTCGAAAAGACCTTATTGTTTCAGACGCCATGATAAATCAGTATGTTACTACTTCAACAAAAAAAATGCTATCGGTCATGTGATGCGTGATCAACCTCTTATGAAGTTGACTAGAGACAAGCTAAGTACTCTTATGCGGGAGGTGCAATAGATCCACCTAGTTTCTCGAGATTGAATTTTTGTCTATTGATCTTGAATCAAACTTTAGAACCATAGCAAATCTTTGTTTCTGTGGTCTCAAGGGTAGGTCGTTTTATTCTGTTTTAACACACGAACGGCTCTGCTAGAGATTTTGCTACACAAATCTGACAAAGCTTTTTGAAGTAACTACTTATCAACTTGAGAAAAGTGCACTTTTCTCTAACAAATGTCGCTGCCGATAGCAATTTCCAAGATGTAAATGTTGTGTGACTTTTTCCCGTCATTATTTTTTGACATACAGGATTGATATAAATAGGTTACCATGTCTCTCATGTGTCGTGCGATATGACGTCCTTGCGAGATGACGTCCTTGACATGCGATCATGGCCAAAATGAAAAAGATATGTACAATCATAGGCACGCATCATCATCTCATGATCCGAAGACTTCTAAATGCGACTCGCACAGT